AGTTCATACGGATTTTGTGGTGAATCTTACGTATATGGCCATATCGCACAAATCATACGGATTCTGAAAATTTCGTTTTTTTTTTTTTTTTTTCCTCTAACAGGTAGTTCCATTGGCTTTTGCCCAGAATGGTGCTAGTCTACGCGAATGCTTTCATTTCCGGTAACTTTCCAGTAAATCACGTGGTTCCTAGTTGAAAATTGCATACTTCGGTAGTGTACAAGCAAGTTCTACAAGGAAACAAATATATCATTCATATTTCGTGGTTTTTTTTCTGCCGTTATTTTGACATATAAAATGCTTTGGTATGTTATAAGGATTTTTTGCTCTTTATAAGGATTTTTTTGGTAGTTTATACAGGTTGGCGCTCCGAAAAGTTGACAGGTATGACTCAGAGACCCTTGTTGAGGCAATAGTTCATATCTAAACATCAGTGGGATCCCAATAGCTCAGAAGAATTTTCTCTGGATTTTAGTCAGACAACACAATGTTGTATGACCCTGAATAGAACTGAGCCGATGAGTGCACGTAAAACTTTTAAAAATATTTTTATTTGATCGATAGCTATACCTATTCCATAATAATAACAACAATAATCCTATAGAATGTAGTAATGAGTGCAGCTTGTCACATATCTTTCATCACTTTTACCCATTTTTGCTTTGTTTTGTTCATCTAAATGTGTTTTTTGTAAATCATGTATGATTGGCTTTAAGTGTACATTTTTATCCTGTGTTTTAAACTCTTGTAAAGTGTCTTTGAATATGATGAAAAGCACTTTCAAAATAAATGTATTATTATTATTATTATTATTATTATTATAATATCTGCACTGGTATTTGAAACCCAAGACGAAACTCATTGAGGTTGTCTGCTATCACAAACCTGACCAGGTTGGCCTCGGCTTGGGGACAGTGTACGTGGCGTCCGTGTACTCCCTGTAAACTGCCTTGATATATTTCTGGGGGGTGCCTTTGGACAGCCACCTAAGAGCAAAGTAAAATACAGTGTACAGTGCAAATGCTACAAATCAACATGAAGCAGCCCACTAAGACATTAAATAAACAGGAAAAAAAAAATCACCTTTGGTCAGACGCTGTGTCACCATCTCCAACACTGACATAGTCCCAGCCGATTTCCACAGCTGCAATGAAATGCTCCCTCACAGTTTTGTCGGTTGCCCGGCAGACTGCGCACAGCAGCAGCAGAGGCAAAAGTGACACTCCCATCGTCAAATGTGCGCACCTGTATGCGCCACAAAGACCTGTCTCAAAGAGACTGTGTGCCTCACTCAAATGTGAGCAAATATATCAAAGTCAGTGGGTGGGACGAAACTCTGGATGGAGCGTGGGTGTGTGTGGGTGAGAGAGTGGGATTACAGAATTTATTATCTAGCGAGTGTCATTTCCAACTTCAGCATGTACCCATGCTCCTCATCGCTGATGAATATTACGTTAAACTGTTTTCATATATATTTATTAGAACAGCCACTCGTTTTAAACAAAATTGCATGTATAAATGCTAAAAATATACAGCATTATCTAAATATTACCACTTTTATATTTTACTATGACATATAAAGTACTAAAATAATAATCATCATCATCATCATCAAACTTAAGTACATATATTAATAATTTTTTATGTTGTAATGCCCAATTTTGGCACTGTATGAGCATTTATAATTTCTCAAAATGTATTTGTATAAGGGCAGCCCGGTGGACGACTGGTTAGCGCGTCAGACTCACAGTGCAGAGGTGCAGGGTTCGATTCCAGCTCCGGCCTTCCTGTGTGGAGTTTGCTGTTCTCCGCGTGCCTGCGTGGGTTTTCTCTGGGTACTCCGTTTTCATCCCACATTCGAAAAACATGCATGGTATGCTGATGGAGCACTCTAAATTGTCCCTTGGTGTGATTGTGAGCGCGAATGGTTGTTTATCTATGTGTGCCCTGCGATTGGCTGGCAACCAGATCGAAGTGTACCCTGCCGAGGGCAGCTGGGATAGGCTCCAGCACGCCCGCGACCCTCGTGAGGAGAAGCTGATCAGAAAATGGATGGATGTGTATACTGTACACAATTCCTTTATTTGTACTGGTAAATAAATAAGCAACATCGTTACCTTTGGGAGAGCTTTTATTGGAACTCATAAAACTGTGAAAATGCACCAAATGAAGTGGATACCAGAGATATGTAGCTCCAACAGATCTCAAAGTCCCATAGAATAAGCATAAATAATAATATAAAGCTGTATTTTTGTTTGTACACTAAAAGGAATCAAAATGACTTTACCCCGCTTCGTGCTTGAAAGGATACCTTACCAGATATAATTTTACAACTTTTTTTTTTTTTTGGTTTGACTCAAGAGATATGGGTTAATACTATGCTTGTGTAAATTCAGAAATTGGAAAAGCTGCAATAATGCTCCCGTCTGAATATTGCAAGACGGGGTTTTACCGTCCTCTTGTGGCAGTTGAGAGAAATCTAATCATGAGGGTATGCAGCAAGTTGTTTTGTATTCTGGGGAAAAGCGTGAGAAGTCTTGATTATAAAGCACATGTAAACTAATGTCTGAAATACCGTTTTCTACCATAGTTAAAATACTACTAATTACTTTACCACTGGTATGTCCAGCCTAGCAGAAAAACATGCAAATAATAACATTTTAAACCATACTGTAAATGAATGAAGTATAATAATAATAATAATAATAATAATAATAATAATAATAATAAAGTCACTATTTGCAAGCACGATGGGAACGAGAAGTTAACTTATTGGGTTATGGTATTAATTTCAATTCAGAAAAGAAGTTGTGCAAATTTGTAACACAGAAACACGACATGATCAAATAATGATTTATTGTACTGGTACTTGTTAAGGTTTTTCTCCAAACATATGAGACTAATGGTGATGGCGTTGTGAGCTATGGTATGTCGATTCTCTCTTTTTGTCTACAGAGATAAGAGATCAGAATCAAAATTAGCAACTATTTCTCTGTCCCTTGAAGTGAAATTGATGTTGCATCAGGAGCACATGAAGACAAGGTACACATATGGATAAGACTACATGTAAAACAACAAATTAAAAGGAAACATCATACTCATTCCCAAATTTTTAGTCCAGCGCTAATGCCACAAATAGGCAATTATTATCAGTTATTGTGTGTGCAATGTGCAGATGTGCAAATAAGCAGTGGTATAGTACTGTATGCCGCAAATTGGCAAGTGTCATTAGTACTGCGCTCTCAACACTATACTTTGTTGATATAATACACAAGTGTGTGTTAACATTAAACACTTTTGTAAATGTTACTATAACACCAGTTACTGTGGATGCATATAGACACTTTGCCTGTTTTAAAATTAACACCCTAAGTGTTGAATTTGCACCGGCACATTTGCAGTGTAGTTTGTAACTCACTTTGCTAATGCACCAACAAATGACAATCAAAACAATACTGTAGTGTACGTCTTTTACGCTACTGTGTGTAACGACTTAATTTCAAAGCGCATACAATTTGAAGCAGGAGCACTCAGGTCCCTCAGAGTGACCCGCTTGGCAATCAAGCCTTGTGTAAGGTAAGACGCCACCTATGTACAGTATGTATAGCAAAGTTTGTGATTTTGAAGTTTCTTGTTTTCTGGTTTGCAGCTGGTCTCTGCTCTGAAAAACAGTAAACACCTCGTCAGTATGATGTTCCATTTATACAAAGTGCATTATGAGGTGTATGAATCTCTATTAATTCATAAAAGAGGAATACATTTTTAAGTCTGGGGTAAACGCAGCGCTGAACTAGCATGCACAAGAAGCGGATTATAAAATAGCAGTAGCCAGAAAAACCTTAGTAAAAGAGTGTTTGATTGAAAGTTTGACAAATTTACTCTTACGTTTTTTCGCACAGCTTGCTGTCAAATACTCATCGCTGCCTTCTTTTTCCTACACATCAGAAACTGACTGAGCAGCTAAGCTGTCATTCTTTTCCAGCATTTTTACCCATTTACTGTGTGCTATAAGGTTCATCGAATTATCGTATTTTGCTGTGTCACAAAGGTTGTTAATGTGCGTTTAGGTCACAGCAAGGCCCTGCTTTCCCTTTTTTGCTGAATTCTGTCTGAAAGGGCCAGGCAAGAAAAACACATCCAAGCCCTACTACATGTATTAAGCCTCTGATCCGCCGATTGATCAGGATTGCATTGGGAAAGCAGCAAGGCCTTGCTGAAATTGTAAATATATGCACACACACACACACACACACACACACACACACACGCACACACATATTCCGTCGTGCCTTTTATAATTTGTTCATATCAGGGTAGTCCAAACTTTATCATTTTATTTAAAAAATGATGGACTGACGGGATGAGTGCCAAGGGCGCTGACTGACCAGCAAAATGTTATAGATTGCCCACCTCTGGATGTTGGTGACAACACAACGCCCCAACTTCATTGGAATTGGGTTTGTACTTTGTATATACAGTAACCACAATAATAATAACACTGGCATTATTAATGATTGATTTCTTCAAAACTGAGATAAGCAAATAAATGTATCCATCCATCCATCCATATTCCAATCCGCTTTATCCTCACAAGGGTCGCGGAGGGTGCTGGAGACTATTCCAGCCATCTTTGGGCAGTAGGCGGGGGACACCCTGAACCGGTTGCCTGCCAACCGCACACAGATGAACAACCATCCACGCTCACACCTGGGGACAATTTAGAGTATTCCATTAACCTGCCATGCATGTTTTTGGAATGTGGGAGGAAACCGGAGTACCCGGAGAAAACCCACGCAGGCCTGGGGAGAACACCCCACAGGAAGGCCGGAGCCGAGATTGAACCCACGACCTGTGCACTGCGAGGTCCAAGCGCTAACCACTGGACCACCGGGCCGCCTGCACGCAAATAAATGCATCAAATAAAACAAAAAAACAAAAAACAAAACATCTACACTGAATACATTTGTGTTTAAGCCAACCACAAAATTAATCATGTATCATAAAGACATAGGACACTGGGTTTTCCACCTGCCCAACCCACTGGTTTATTGGATAATCATTCAGCTGGAGACAATCACTCAGTTCTTTCTTGCATGAAAAAGGCCCCATCGTTGGTCTCCGGTGGTGGAACGATCCAATTTTCCTATCCAGCCGTTCACAATGGTACTATAGTCCTCCTCAGAGAATTCCTGCAAAGATACCTGCGGGTTAGACAGCCGGCTATCAGAGAGATCATTTAGAATTGTTTGTCGGTTGGAAGAATGGCAACCTCGATAAATTCAGTCTTGATTTCATCAGCTCTCTGGAGTTCTTCCTTTATGGTCTGGATGAAGTGGGCTGTCCGGTCAGATGTCTGAACATTACAGAAGCCAGCGTCCTGAATGAACTACACCAGCGGACACAAAAGACAACATGAGCAACACGAGCAATGAGGTGAAGTCATCCCATACTGAACTTTCAAGAGACAAGACAGTAAGAGATGACACATGAGTTTTTTTGAGTAACCCATTACTATTTTTTAAGTGCTATTCCAAATTATCAGAAGTGGGCATTTCTTCAGACTGACACAAGGTCTGTCAGTCCGTCATTGTTTCCCTCAGTATTTCAGACGGACCCACATGGGCTGGGTCTGTCCCTTGTTGGCGACAGTCAATCATCATTGAGAGCGCAATTTCAACACGCACGCACGCACGCACGCACGCACGCACGCACACACACACACACACACACACACGCAATGTGGTGATCAGTGGAAAAAAATTATGGTACACATGTCATTGAGGTCTGTGGGATTGCAAGGTATACAACAATCTTATTATTATTATTTTTTTTCAGTATTTTGCTGCATGTCTGGTGTGCATGTTCTATAGTACCGGTAACTCCCGTCTTGATGTCACTTGGCTGTCACAGACGACTAGAACGGATTGAGCTAGCCTGAAATAATAATAATAATAATAAGACGAATAATACATTTCATTTAAAAGCGCCTTTTATGCCACCCAAGGACACTGTACAGACAATACAATGTAAAAATAAATAAAAGAAATATTGTATATCAACAGGACATAAAATCCCAAACAGAGAAATACTGACGACAGCTCACTGATGGACTCACAGGACTGACAATACCCACTTCCGAATAAAACATTAGTCCCGCGTAGGGGCTTTCACTTTGTTAATTTATATATATATATTACAGTTGAGTTTCGGCTTGTCACTATGGTGACAAATGCAGTATAAGCTAGTGTTACATCTGCAAGTCTTGCTCAGGATATTAAAATAGAAAAAATAAAAATCACTGGTGAAATTGCTCACAGAGGTTGAAAATGAATAGTTGTGATGTGTGAGACACGTCAAATGGAGAAGCGGCATTTTGCAGCACCACGATAAGGTGACAGCTATGGGAGAGGATTAACAATTACGGAAACATGAAAAAAATGTCTTATTTAGCGCAGCTCTAGTATAAATCTTTACAAAATGAGGCTTTACTGTGTGCTTACCTTTCCATACTGTGATGGTGTGTAGAGGATGTAGCCTCGCTGTTTGACATAAGCTTCAAATTGGGGGGTCCATGGCTTCTCCCCACAACAGTAGTCACTGATAAGCAGCTGGCCCCCAGGCCTTAACCATAACTGGACATGAAAAGCACATGCACTTTACTAGAGTAATAAAAAAATACACTGCTCGCAAAAAGTTAGGGATACATGTATTTGGCTTAAATTTCAGGATGAGCTTAAATAAATCAGTTAATATTTTGGTATTTGGGTTTTGTTGTTGTTTTTTCTAAGGACGAAGCACATTAATCAACAGAGCGAAAAGGAGGTACTTGCAGTTCTCTCACTTACTGCTTCCCCCCGCCCCCGTGCCTAAACTGCTCGCCCCTCCCCTCTTTGCTCTCCAAGCCGAAAAAAAAAAAAAATGACGCGGCTCGTTTCCTCAACTCTGCAATCAGCCGATCATACTGTGCCCTGCTTAGAAGCCCCCTCAAAAAAGAAAAGGAGTTTATATAATTGGTGACGGAGACTATTAACAGTGAATGAAACCTTGACTTTTTAAAACTGCGGTAAACCATCAAACTGGTCATCGTCCCAAGCCTAGTAGTGTATAAGCTTGATGCTATTAGCTAAGAGCATACCCACTGTACTTACATGGAAACGTTTGAAGAGAGCAAGCTTGTCTCTAATGTGGAGGATTGTGTCTCGGCTGTAGATAACGTCAAAAGAACCCTCGGGAAACGTCCTCTTCGTGGCATCAGCAACTTCAAATTCAACCTATAAATTGTGATTTCCACTCATATTAAACATGACTAAAGCCATGACATTCAATGTGTGAGCTTTTCAACACACCGAGGGCAGCCTCTCGGCAAAGGCCCTCGCCATAGCGATGTCCACCATGTTCTCTGACAGGTCCAAGCCAAGCACCTCCACTCCGAATGTCTGAAATACAGTATGACAAACTCTACTATGCCGCTCTTCAATAGTCAAGATGCTGTTACATGTTTTAATGGGCGGTTTCCTTGGCTCTGACCTTTGCCATGTAGAAATCGCCTCCACCGATACCACAGCCAACATCCAGAACCTTCTGGCCAGGTTGCAAGTTGAGCAGATCTACAAATTCCTGTTGTTACAAGGTCACAAAGCTGTTGCTGTTTTCTGCTCTTATGTTTTATCTCGATGCATTTGTACTTGCATTTTGTTGGTTGATACCAGCATGAACCAAAAACAATGATATGACTCCTATGATTTGTGGAGTGGTATGGCCCCAATCCATGCATTTTGTATACATCTTATCCTGCCCAGAGGCTTGACTTCAGGTAACAGGTCAGGATATATATTGACTTCATTGTGAAATGGAAATTGGACAATCACCAGGTTCACAAATGTCAGCTATTTGAAGCCCTTCACACTACCAAAAGCATCGTATGATCTTAGACAAAAAAAAAAAAACAAAACCAAAAACAAAAACAAAAAAACGGTGCTAATCAACGTGACACCGATGCTTCTATCAATTTTCATCGGGAAGGAACAATGTCTGAGAAACATTTTCCATCACTTTTCCAAAGGTCACAGGTGAGCGGTAATCTACCATCGGATCAGCAAGAGGCAGGATAAACGCTGGACTTGTCGTCATGCAATTGACAACCATCCACATGCACATTGACACTTACAAGCAACTTAGAGTCTTCATGCAAGATTTTTTTGTACATTAGAGAAAACGAGAGCACCTGTCTAGTCACAGGGAGAACATGAACTCCATATAGGTAGGCCTGAAGTGAAATGTGAAACCTGAACTTGTCGAACATGAAGCAGATGTGCAAATTACATGAGCCCTAGTGTGCTCCTTTTTTTTTTAAAGGAAAATTATTTTCAGGATCTCTACTAGATTGCTTCGAATGTCAATATAAGAGGATGGGCATGACGAAGCTTTACAATTAATAATGGGTACTTTAACATTTCCAAAATGACTGAACTCAACCACAACATACTGAAATAGTGGCTAACTCTTCATTGAATTGATGGAATTTTAAATTGACCCGAGTGAGCATAGGCGGATCAGATAATGGATGGATGGCTGAAAAAAATGAAACTTCATCGATGTACAGTATATCTTTTCCACTAAAACAGTTGTTAAAGCCTGTGCCTTTATCAGGCACCAAATAGTGTAAGTGTGTATTTCTAGTGAAAGATGTTTGTTCTGACCTTAGTGGTGCTGAACCCGCCTGTGCTGACATAACCCGACCCGAACATCTTCTCATAGCACAGAATGCCCCGCCGAGTGTACTGGTTGTTGTCCAGGAACATCTGGAAGGTCCTGAATGTCTCCTTTGCGTCTGAAGAACGTGCAACCTTCTCCCACAACCAGCAGATCTGATTAGGGTTGTTTTTCAACTGTAGGTGAAAAGGCAAAGCACACATCAGTGACAAATTAGATTTTTAAACACCCCCCCACCTCTGCTGAACAAGTGAACTTGTTAAGGTTTCAGTCAATATTTTGAAAGATCCAAACCAGAGTACCTCAATATAAGTCTTGACCTGCTTCCTGAAAACGATGTCGAAACCAAACCTCTGACCTGCTTCTTCATCCTCCACTTGGACCGATGCGGTCATGTGGTTGTACTGGTTTTTTTTTTTTTTTTGTCTAAGATCATACGATGCTTTTGGTAGTGTGAAGGGCTTCAAATAGCTGACATTTGTGAACCTGGTGATTGTCCAATTTCCATTTCACAATGAAGTCAATATATATCCTGACCTGTTACCTGAAGTCAAGCCTCTGGGCAGGATAAGATGTATACAAAATGCATGGATTGGGGCCATACCACTCCACAAATCATAGGAGTCATATCATTGTTTTTGGTTCATGCTGGTATCAACCAACAAAATGCAAGTACAAATGCATCGAGATAAAACATAAGAGCAGAAAACAGCAACAGCTTTGTGCCCTTGTAACAAAGCTGTTGCTGTTTTCTGCTCTTATGTTTTATCTCGATGCATTTGTACTTGCATTTTGTTGGTTGATACCAGCATGAACCAAAAACAATGATATGACTCCTATGATTTGTGGAGTGGTATGGCCCCAATCCATGCATTTTGTATACATCTTATCCTGCCCAGAGGCTTGACTTCAGGTAACAGGTCAGGATATATATTGACTTCATTGTGAAATGGAAATTGGACAATCACCAGGTTCACAAATGTCAGCTATTTGAAGCCCTTCACACTACCAAAAGCATCGTATGATCTTAGACAAAAAAAAAAAAACAAAACCAAAAACAAAAACAAAAAAACGGTGCTAATCAACGTGACACCGATGCTTCTATCAATTTTCATCGGGAAGGAACAATGTCTGAGAAACATTTTCCATCACTTTTCCAAAGGTCACAGGTGAGCGGTAATCTACCATCGGATCAGCAAGAGGCAGGATAAACGCTGGACTTGTCGTCATGCAATTGACAACCATCCACATGCACATTGACACTTAACAAAAACAAAAAAACGGTGCTAATCAACGTGACACCGATGCTTCTATCAATTTTCATCGGGAAGGAACAATGTCTGAGAAACATTTTCCATCACTTTTCCAAAGGTCACAGGTGAGCGGTAATCTACCATCGGATCAGCAAGAGGCAGGATAAACGCTGGACTTGTCGTCATGCAATTGACAACCATCCACATGCACATTGACACTTACAAGCAACTTAGAGTCTTCATGCAAGATTTTTTTGTACATTAGAGAAAACGAGAGCACCTGTCTAGTCACAGGGAGAACATGAACTCCATATAGGTAGGCCTGAAGTGAAATGTGAAACCTGAACTTGTCGAACATGAAGCAGATGTGCAAATTACATGAGCCCTAGTGTGCTCCTTTTTTTTTTAAAGGAAAATTATTTTCAGGATCTCTACTAGATTGCTTCGAATGTCAATATAAGAGGATGGGCATGACGAAGCTTTACAATTAATAATGGGTACTTTAACATTTCCAAAATGACTGAACTCAACCACAACATACTGAAATAGTGGCTAACTCTTCATTGAATTGATGGAATTTTAAATTGACCCGAGTGAGCATAGGCGGATCAGATAATGGATGGATGGCTGAAAAAAATGAAACTTCATCGATGTACAGTATATCTTTTCCACTAAAACAGTTGTTAAAGCCTGTGCCTTTATCAGGCACCAAATAGTGTAAGTGTGTATTTCTAGTGAAAGATGTTTGTTCTGACCTTAGTGGTGCTGAACCCGCCTGTGCTGACATAACCCGACCCGAACATCTTCTCATAGCACAGAATGCCCCGCCGAGTGTACTGGTTGTTGTCCAGGAACATCTGGAAGGTCCTGAATGTCTCCTTTGCGTCTGAAGAACGTGCAACCTTCTCCCACAACCAGCAGATCTGATTAGGGTTGTTTTTCAACTGTAGGTGAAAAGGCAAAGCACACATCAGTGACAAATTAGATTTTTAAACACCCCCCCACCTCTGCTGAACAAGTGAACTTGTTAAGGTTTCAGTCAATATTTTGAAAGATCCAAACCAGAGTACCTCAATATAAGTCTTGACCTGCTTCCTGAAAACGATGTCGAAACCAAACCTCTGACCTGCTTCTTCATCCTCCACTTGGACCGATGCGGTCATGTGGTTGTACTGGTTTTCGGTGCGGTAACGTGTAGGGTTGAATTCCCTTTTACAGTTACCTGTAAAGTCACCACAAGTACACCAACACAGTGTAGGGCAGTACAAATATCCAGATGAATGGATTGGGTGAATTTTGTACCCGAGCGGTGGTGACATGATTCTCTGTAGAAGAGCGAGCCACCGGGCTGCAACCACACCAGCATTTTCTTTAACAACAAATGCAGCTCCTCGTCACCGAGGTACATCAACAGCCAGTTGGAGAAAATGAAGTCAAAACTAAGGAAGACAGGAGGAGTGCGGGTCCATCCGATTTTACAATCTGTTTCTATCTCTGTGAAGACTTCAGATGCACATTGGCCATACACACCTGTTTGGGGGAAAGTCCAACTTTGTCACGTCAGCTTGGAGGAAGGTAACGTTTTTGTGGTGCCCGTTGCTCTGCCGGTTCTTTTCCACAAAGTTCTCCATGAAATCCACGGCGGTCACGTGGTCAGCCCGTTTCAGCAGATGGCTGGTGTATCGACTGTTTGTACACAAGTGTACATGTCTCAGTCTTGTATCTTGGAGATTAGGAAACTTGAAATAGAAAATGCCTGCTCGATTATCATGTATTGAGTTTTTACTTCAGAGTCGATATGTCAGTCACCGCTATCCTATTAAAATAGGTCCAAACTCGGAAAATACCCAGAAAAAGGGGTCTTCCGCCAGCCCCAATTTAACCACGTCATTGAATGTGATACAGAAGTCCTACACATATTTAATCTTGTGCTCCTGCTGATCAAATTAATGCACGCTTCAGAAAAACAACCCCAGACTACTACTCCATGCTCACCCAATGCCGGACCCCAGTTCCAGCACACGACACCCAGCCAGATTGGGCAGTATGGACAAGATTTCGGGCAGTTCCTGCTGAGTCAACTCAATGGCGCACGAGTCCAGCATCATCTCCTGCACTGTGGCCTCCTTGGAGTGCTCCTTCCAAAACTCTGTCATGGTCCTACGCACTGCATAGTGTACAGGATTCAAATCGATGGATGATATAGAAAGGTAGTTTATTGTCACTGTGGAAAAAGATACAATTTTTCTTGCAATGATAAAAACTAGGGATGTTGGATATCACTTTTTTTCAGACCAATGGTACTCACCGCTTCAGAACACACCATTACGAGGTAACCGATACCGCTACCATTTGTGATACGTACTATTTCTTTTAAACCATTGACGGAAAAATTTTTCAGAATAAAAAGGACTTCAGGAACATAAGACATGTTTAAACCATCCCACTTCCACATACCGTGCTCCATAGCGCTCTTTGAAAGTTTACTTGTGAAAATGAATGAAATAGCAGTCCTCCAGTCACAATTTGAGGCGTTGGGCCCTCCCCTTACTACTTATATCAGATGAGGCCATGAGGTGGAAGAACCTGACCGTGAGGATGTATCCAATCTGAGTGAAGGGAGGGCGCCGGGGTGGGTCAGAGAAAGGGGAGGAAATGGGCCTTGCCACGATTAAAACAAATAAAACAAGAAAAAAAATACCTGCTTTACAGCGCGGATAACTGGACAACGCAGGAATAAGTAAAATAAGTTGTCAGACTCACATGATGACGATGAAGACGAAATCACACCACCCCTTGAACTAGTGAGGCTCTTTCTTTCTCTCTCTTTCTCCCTCTCTGTCTGTCTCTCTCTCTCTCGCTCTCTCTCTCGCTCTCGCTCTCTCTCTCGCTCTCGCTCTCTTCCTCCTCTCTTTATTTTGTGCTGACACGTTGGAACTGCGCCGTGGCACGCAGCCATTGCGCAACATTGCATCATGGTGCAGGGGGAATAAAAAATGTTTCGGTGAATATTATTGTTGTGTCCTACAATGACGATTCACTTATCAAATGTCCATTCTCCATTAACAACAGAGTTCTAGCTATCTAAAAGACAGTTCCATTTTTTCATGTAACATTAAGTGCTGATCAAACATAGTTCACAAATTAATTTGATCAGTCACAAATTCATTTGATCAGTCAACTAACAGAAGCATATTTGAGTATGTATACAGAAAATTACTAAACAATAATAATAATAATAATAATAATAATGATTATAATAATAATAAAAATAAATGACATCCTGGGATCTTAACCTGCAGGAGGGCAAGGAAAAACTCCCAAAACCCCATCGGGGGCAAAATGAGAAACCTTGAGAAGGGGTCGCAGATGGGAGAATCCACCTTCCTGGATGACCGGGCTGCAATGGATACCGAGTGGGCAACTTTGGACACAATATCTATGCAATGTTAGTGAGCAGGAACACTCCTTTGGAGAGGTGGGTCTTCCAGAAAACCTGGTCCGGCTGGTCAATGAAGAAATCTCCATAGCAGCGCGCCTGCAAGTAAATGGTCCACCTCAGAGATCTGGTCCAGATCAGTCGAGCAGAATCTGTGATGATTCTATTTTTGTTTAGATTACATTTGGTTTTGTTTCCCCATTTGCTTATTTTGTCTCTACCTGTCCTTGTCATCCGGGTCCCTTGCGTTCACCAATCAGCTCCCTCAACCCTTTGTGTCTTGTCCAGGTGTTGCTTGTTGTCTGTCAGTTTGCTTGTATTAATTACGGTATGTAGTTACCTGGGTTCTATCAGTCTTTGCCGGATTGTTGTGTTCGTGTCACATACCTGTCAACTCATACGGTTTAGCCATAGTTCATACGGATTTTGTGGTGAATCTTACGTATATGGCCATATCGCACAAATCATACGGATTCTGAAAATTTCAGTTTTTTTTTTTTTTTTTCCCCCCTAACAGGTCGTTCCGTTTGCTTTTGCCCAGAATAGTACTAGTCTACTCGAATGCTTTCATTTCCGGGAACTTTCCAGTAAATCACGTGGTTCCTAGTTGAAAACAGCAGAGTATTCATTGCATACTTCGGTAGTGTACAAGCAAGTTCTACAAGGAAACAAATATATCATTCATATTTTGTGGGTTTTTTTCTGCCGTTATTTTGACATATAAAATGCTTTGGTATGTTATAAGGATTTTTTGCTCTTTATAAGGACTTTTTTGGTAGTTTATACAGGTTGGCGCTCCGAAAAGTTGACAGGTATGGTGTCATGTTGTTTTGTTTCTCGTAGTGATGTGTTTTATTTCTCTGTGTTTTGTTGTTACTTTGAGTCTTGGTCTTTTCAGGACTGCTCGACAGATAACACATTCAAAACAAAGTCGTCTCTACGAGTGTGTGTGCACAATCTGTGACTTTGTACACAGTTCCAATGCAGAGTACAAGTTCATGGCACACGGTACTGGATGGACTAGGTCATTGAGATAGCGCTGTGAATATTCAAAGTACGAGTCCCATTATACGGTACTGTGTAAGCAACGTGTCAGTGACAAAGTGTTATGGTAAGGTACACATTGAAACCACAAAAATTTAGAAAACATCAGTGCATCTCTCTCTCTTGGGCAAAGTCCCTTTTACAGATTTCCATTGTAGCCTTCAGATATTTGCAACTGCGTTCAACTACAATTGGATCATTTTTAGTCTTTGGTACAAAGTAGACTGAAGGAATAATTATGTCTGAATAGGAAAACAAGTTGACCAAGTGTCATGTTGATGACACAATGTATGATGCAACCGTTCATTGCCCTCAGCTCTTGGCCTCATAAGGTTCACCGGTGAGCTGTAGCCTATCCCAGCTGACTTTGGGTGAGAGGCAGGACACACCGTTGACTCGTCAACAGCCAATTGCGGGGCGCAAAGACAAAAAGTCAGGCCAAGTGAATCATGGGTGACGACAGGTGTACAAATGTTGACAATAAGTGAGCCATGCGTCAGTAAGAGGCTGAAAATAATTACTTAGAGATCACATTTACATGACTGTTGTTTATTTTAATGTCTTAAATATCATTCATCCATCCATTTTGCGATCCGCTTTATCCTCACAAGGGTCGCGGGGGGTGCTGGAGCCTATCCCAGCAGTAGGCGGGGTACACCCCGAACCGGTTGCCAGCAAATCGCAGGGCACACAGAGACGTACAACCATCCGCGCTTACACTCACACCGAGAGACAATTTAGAGCGTTAACCTGCTATGCATGTTTTTGGAATGTGGGAGGAAACCGGAGTGCCCAGAGAAAAACCCACACGGGCACGGAGACAACATACAAACTCCACACAGGAAGCCCGATTCGAATCCTACACCTCTGTACTGTGAGGTCGACGCGCTAACTACTGGATCACCGAGCCACCCGTCTTAAATATCATGACATTATTATTCTATTTTCCACCTTTCAAGTCACCTTGATATGAAATTGTTACACGCTCGGTCGGGCATGTATCTTCAGAAACTTCATCCCAAAGTAGCAACCCTGATTTGAATATATTACCAGCAGATGAAAAAAAAAGTACTTCAGCAGAAGCAACCTTTTGTATTCGTCACACTTTGATCCTTTCATTAGTGCACTTGAACAGGACACACAAACAATGTCCATGTGGATATTATTTTCACTAGGTGGCAGTAATGGTCCATAAAGGCAGTCAGAAAATACAGTAAGTGAATTTGGGGAGCTGCTGATTTTGAGGGTGGATCATTTGTTCATAGTTGTGTACAATATTGATAATAGATGTCATTTTATTGTCATTTTGATTAATAAAATTAATCTATCAAATGTAATAAAACCATAAGACAGTACAGTGAGTACAGATGATTAAAAATAAAACAAAAAAGTATATAAAACTGATACCTACTTAATACATGAGTGAAAAAAAAGCTGATGAATTATCAAATACAAATTATAAATCAAGTTGATAAGTTCAATTTTATGATGTATCCTTTAATGTGAATACTATAACAGAGGCGCCATCTCTAGATTGCATGCATAAAGGCATCGCTTGTGGATTTTAATGAGACTTTATGTAATGCTTAATTTTTGTGCTTGCAGCATGTGCAAATAGAAACACGGGCCATTTTACTTCCACAAACAGAAAAACAATCAGAGATAATCTCTTTACTCTGTTTGTATAGCAGGTCAAAGCAGTTGTTTGTGTCTGTGCCCGAATCCAGTCCTCAAGATCCACCATCTAGCCTGGTTTAGACGTCTCTGTCCTCCAACAAGCCTGATTCAAATGATCACTGCTTCAGCAAGCTCTGAGAAGCCTCATAAAGATCCTGAATCAGGTGAGTTGGAAGAGGGCGACATCTAAAGCAGGCTGGCTCGGGGATCTCTATGACCGGACTTGGTATCAGGGAAGCGTATCGTAAGGTGCCAAATGAAGCCGCCTCACTTGAACGTGACTAGAGGTAGACAAAGTCATATTTTAAATGTATCTTCACATAAAAGATTGATTGGATATCCTGGCAAACCACATCTTCAAGTTCTTTCAGGTTTTCTTTCTCCCATGAGGGAAGATGGAAGGAGGAATGAAATATTAGCCGTGAGTAAACGCACTTATTTATTGATCTCTTTGAGGGCGCATCTTTAAATTATAGAACAGTGCAGACACAACACTGCTGCTAAAAATATTTTTTGACCAACATCATTTGTGCTTTTCATCCTTTCTACCCCACCCTTGCACGCGTCCAGCCATGTCCTATCCACGAGAGAGAGCATTCTTACATTTTGCACCGACATCAACTCTTCTCATACAGGAGACATTTGCTGCACTCTTAGCGCAGTGAGTCACAGTAACCCAGACTTGCACTCCAGATGTTTAAGATGTTATTTTCCTACAGGGAGTTGATGACGCATTCATGGTGAATTAAAAGAGAATTAGATGTATTTTGGGCAGCTCAGAAGCAGCAGCAATGAGAAGCAAGTTTAGTGGACAACACTACCGTACAACAAATAACACGAAGGGGCCGGCATTACTATCTGGGTCAACATTTTATCCATGTACATTCACTGTCATGAGAACAAATAGTTGGAATATTTAATGACATATCAACTTCATACAGGGGTGCATTTGAAAATGTCGACCAAACTTTTACATCCATTCAGTGCAGATTTATTATTGGTTTTACTAATTTTACGCCGTATGTTCTTTGGTCCCGATTTGTTTGTTTTGCGCATTCTAGGAGAAGCAGAGACAAAGGGATTCATTGAGCATGCACAGGATGATTTATCACGCCATAGATGACTTACGATGGCTGATTTTGTATCTTGAAATGTTGGGCCCGATTTTGGTCGACGGCACACGTGTGCTCGGCGTAAAAATGGGCATTGCTTCATATTCCTACTAGTTCAAGTCTATATAGTCTAGCATGTTTGAGGAGGTGTTGCGCCTATCTGGGCGTTCCGGCGCACGGAGTTGCCTTGTCCCCGACTCATCATAAAATTTGGTATCAGACAGTAATCTGCACTCGGCGTAAAAACAGGCACCGGGGGCAATGGTCTAGTTCAGTGTGTTGGTGGATTTGGTCTATGCACTATGCCTCACTGGGCGTTCTGCAAACTTGGTGAAAAGGAGACTAGATTGTAGACTCGGTAAAAGCAGGTTTTAAGAGGGACTTATAATCATTATCATCTTAAAAATATTTTTATAGCACCAGCGTTACTATTGGGGGGCGTGGGGGGTGGTGGTCCTATACCGTATTCACGGACAAGTT